CCCCTGCCCTGGGCAGCCCATTCCAACGCCCAACAGCCCCTTCTGCACAGAAATCCTTCCTCAGAGCCAGCCTGACCCTGCCCTGGGCAGCTTGAGGCCATTCCCTCGGGGCCTGGCGCTGGGGCCTTGGCTCCAGAGACTCATCCCCCCTCTCTGCCCCCTCCTGGCAGGGAGTTGCCGAGGGCCAGGAGGTCTCCCCTCAGCCTCCTCTTCTCCAGACTGAACCCCCCCAGTTCCCCCAGCCGCTCCCCAGCAGACCTGTGCTCCAGACCCTGCCCCAGCTCCGTTGCCCTTCTCTGGCCACGCTCGAGTCATTCAATGGCCTTTTTGGGGTGAGGGGCCCAGAACTGAACCCACTCATCGAGGGACGGCCTCCCCAGTGCCGAGCCCAGGGCTCAGATCCCTTCCCTGTCCCTGCTGGCCACGCCAGGGCTGACACAAGCCAGGATGCCATTGGCCTTCTTGGCCACCTGGGCACACTGCTGGCTACTGTGCAGCCAGCTGTCAATCACCCCCCAGGTCCCTCTCTGACTGGCAGCTCTCCAGCCACATCCTGCAGCCTGCTCTCTCCTCATGGAAAGCAGGCCCCTCGCCTGGAACTCGGCACGTGCCCATGGCAGCTGCTGAATTAAGGGCAGGAGCAGACACACGCTGACTGGTTTTAGCCCACTGCCGCCTCTCATCACTGTTTTTTTCCAAATCTCTCCCATCTAATTACCCCCAGAGGAAGGAGGTCACTGCTTGTGATGAAGCAGCCTCAGGGAATCAGTGCTGAGAACTCCTGGTCTACCAGGAAGCACAGGTTCAAACAGCATCCCTCACTTGAACTGTGTGACAGAGTCAACACATTTGGCAGAGGACAGTGACCACACCTGTCATCAGGGACAACACAAATTCGTCACCTCAGTGCTAAAAAACAAGCTGTGCTCACACTGACCAGACCTGATTTATGCCGTACTTATTTAGCAAGGGTAATCCCGACCCAGAACACAGTGGTGGAGAGCCTGCAGTCAGGGGAGGATCGGGTGGAAACGGTGCAAAGCTGTAAGGGACATCCCCCAAGGAGGAGAGAAGTCCCCCCAGACAGATCTCTGCTGTCCCACCACCAGCAGGAGGGTTTGACACTGGGGGGAAAAAATGGGGGAGCTGTGTTTGCTGACAAACGTCCCTTTCAAGCCCTGGGGAAGAGGTCAAGACAAAAATAGTTGGGCAAGAAAATATTTTATGGAGAAACCTAAGTTACAAACAGCATTGAAAACAAACACAGCACGGGACAAAATAAAAACCAGCAGAGCAGGAAACTCCAAATAGAGTGGAAACAATTTAAGCCTACACAGGGGTTTCTATTAAAACTCCAGCTTAATAATTTAGTAGCTTGGCGCTAGCTCTGTAAATTGGAGTGTGTAAAAATCAGACCACCACCAGGTCTGCACGGGATGGAAGTAAATTCAATCCAGCTCTTAAAAACATCCTACCTAATGAGAGACAGTGGCATGAAGAGGCAGCCAGTTGGATACCTGCCAAAAGCCAACACGCCTCATTAAACCGAGCAGCGTGGGGACCCAGGCAGAAACCTCCACTGGTCTTGAAGTTCTCCTCCACAGGCAGGTTCTCCACGTGGCCTCTGAGCAACAGGCAAAGCTCACATCTACCAAACTCTGAAACAATAACAACAACAACAACAAAAAAACCCCAAATGAAAGGCTCCTCGTGTAAACACCAGCAATGTCCACTTACTGAGGGGAACACGGGAAGAAGCTGACCTGCAAAAGGAAGAAGTAATGCGGAGTGGCTTTCCAAGCTTTTTTTTTTTTTTTGCTACTTTTGGACATATTTGTAATGGCTATAAAAAAACCCAAGCTGCCTCACAAAAAAGAGAAAGGGTGGAAGTGTGCGTTTCCTATGGTTTCCCTGCACCTAGAGCTCAAGTTTGCCTGCTGCAGGAGGCCACGGCAGCTGCACAGCCAGCAACACGACTAGGAGGACTGAAGTTGAGTAATTGTGAGGAAAGGTCAAATTTTTATTCAGACTGAACCTGGTCTTTTTAACTAGGGGAAAAAAAAAAAAATCGACATGTTAACTCCTGTATATAAATGCCAATGACTCTTTGCAGCTTTCCTCGAAGCGGGCCTAAATACACACTTACATCCTTCCTGCCTCCTCCCCCTCCAAGCGAGCTCCTCCAGTGCCAGACCTTGTGCTTTTAGCTCTCCTGGCATGCAGTCCTATTCCACTGGCACTCAGACAGGGCCTTCAGAGTTGTAAGGACTCAGAGGGTCAGCAATAAAAAGCATGTGGAGAAGGGGAGCTCAGGCAAAGAGTCTGCTCCCTTGCCCACAGCCAAGGCAGTCCATGCTTTTCAAGACCCCCTGGAGGGTCAGGTGAGTGAATTTGCTTCTCTGAGCAGCTCCAATCAACTTCCACCTCCCCAACACGAGGCCCTGCCATATTCTCTTCTGGAAAACACTCAAGTCTGAGCCTTCTTGCCCATCCCTGGCTGAGAAGCTCTCTGGGAAGCTCAGCAAGACGCCTCAGAGCCAACGGCTCTTCCACTGCCCTATGACCAACTGAAAGTGTTTATTTGAGCCACTGTTTCTGCTCTGCTTGATTCGAGCTTCCTGCTACGCCAGGCCACCACAACTGCCAGCAGCTCCCCCATCAGCAGGTCACCCAGAAACCATGACAGATGTGGATCTTCAAACATCACCACTGAGTAAGCTACCATCACCCCAACGTACAGGTACAGAAGAGTTTAGAGATCCAAAAGATTGGACCTGAAACCTGTCAAGAAGCAACAGAAGAAAAGCAGAGGGCAGAGCCCAGCACACAAGGTCGAGGTCCTAATTCTTGTCAAAGCAAGAAGTTCTGCCCAACCTGGTCTTGAAGAAAAGAGACGTGATCTCAGTGAAGGGGTGAGAGCTCCCAATGAACATTTTATATCTTTACAAAATAATTCCTCCTGTTAAAGCAGCAAACGTGAGGCTGGACATGCCCAGAGTAGAAGCAGGATTTTCCTCCCCTTCCTACATTGAAAAGGATGGAAGAGTTTTTCTTCTAGGAGTATAGTATCATAAAAACGGACGAGCCTAAAATTCACCTTCCAGCATGACGTACTTTTTTCATACAGCCAGTGACATTCAGAATTTGGGTCTGTTTCTGTTTCAAAGCTCAAGACTCCTCCATGGATCATCATCAGTAGGACACTAATTTATGCCTCAGCTTCATATTTTAAACACAAAATGACATCTACTGGGCTTTTCTTTCTTCAAATGAAAACAGATTCATAATTACTTCCAACAACAGTGCAAGATGGATATTCCCCAACTTAAAAGGGCCCCAGCACAGCCCCTACTGTTACACCATTCACACTGTCAACCAGTAAGGGCTCGCAGCCTCTCCTCTGCGTTACACAGGCCCATTTGTAACACCACGCTGATGGAACACAAAAACAATTGAGGGTACTTTCAGACATCTTGCACACCACAAATTCTTGCATTCATTTTAAAATTCTTCTTGGCCCACACTGCCGAGCAGAATAAAGACATTAATTTAGCCCACAAAAAGACTGAGGTCAGCACTGGACACTGCCCAGTTCTTTTCAAGAGACCACACTGAAAACAAACCAGTGCCCTATATATACCTCTTACCTGGTGTGGTTTTATAGCACCTCTGTCATGGGCACGTAAGTGTCCTGAGCTGTTGGAAACAGAGGGTCACATCTTACTTCAGTGACTGAGACTGAAAATTGCAGCTAGACACGTTTTCTCTGGTTGCAGAACATGCCAACGCCATCAGAAGTTCATTAAACTTGGCATCAAATTTCTAGAGAGGCACTGCTGACATTCATAACAAAACAAATACATCTTGTAAGAGGACGCCGTCAATCCCAGCTTCTCCACTCCCTCCTTCAAATGCCAATAAGGCATGAAGATGTTTTGTGTCCGTCCCCCCCCGCAACTGAGCAACAGCCTTCAAGAGCTCAGCTGGACACCCATGTGTCCCTTTGCCCTAACGATTTGCCAGCAGCTCCCATTCCCC